TTCAGGTTATGAGGACCCCTTTTATTTTTGTGGATGGGCACAGTTTCAGGAAAAGAAAGGTGCTAGACAAAGCTTACTGTGTGGTTATTTGACATTACAGCCAAAGCAGTGATGTGCCTAGGGCATATCTTGTCTAAGGCTGACTAGAAAGGGTCATTTACTAAGACTGCAGTTTTCTAATGACCTATTGGGGTCTCATGCCATCTTGGGCATTTAATCGTGCCAGAGTGTATATCGTTTGTTCCACTTGTTTGCCCGAGGTTTATATCTTAAATCAAAACTTCAGTGGTAACATTTACTGGACTTGGGGAGCGCTTGTTAAAGAACTCAGATTCGTTTATGATGGGTAAGGCCAAAACAGAGGACATTGAGACATGTCGGTCTTTGTATTATTATGGTCTGGAATCATGTTACAGGAATATATTGTACCAGAGATGACATTAATATCAGAATCTGCTTTGTCATCCCGTACAGTATTCCCAGAATTGCAGTCATGGCCACTGAGCAAAATGAAAGGAAGTAGCTAGAGCCATCTCTGGAGCCTCCCAACTTTTCAGGAGACTCCCCACACTGGCACCTTGTCAAATAGCATGAGTAGCCTGGCCCACGCCAGCCCACTGCTCCCTCATCCCCTTTGTCTAGTGAGTCCTCTGTGCCTCATACCTCTGTCCTACGTACACTCCACCTCCTCTATGCATAAATACATAAATGAGTGTTCCCAAAAATATGCAGATAGGATATATCCCTGCTCTGTCTCTTAATCACCCACTATAGAGTTCAAGGCATGATTCATCCTTCACAAGATAAAACACACTCAACATAGTCAACTCCAGGCTGCACACTTGTGACCCAGAGCCCTGCCCTTCCAGGGATGGTGTCACTGGAGGACGTGGCTGTGAGCTTCACCTGGGAGGAGTGGCAGGACCTGGATGACACTCAGAGGACCCTGTACCGGGATGTGATGCTGGAGACCTACAGGACCCTGGTGTCCCTGGGTGAGCGACACTTCCCTCTGACTGCCATGTGCAGTTCTCATTCTTTTTTTTGAAGGTAGATTTTCTTTTTTCAAAAAATGAATATTTGTTTGTTTATTTTATAAGTTAATTTTTATATCATTTTGTACATTATTTTTTTCTTTCTTAATTGTAATCCCCGTGGGTTTCCCATCACCAAGTCACCCGGGTACCATCACCATAATCCCGTGCACTTCCCTCCCCACCCCCCTCCACCCTCCGTTTTTGGTTCCATTCCCCACTCTACCCCCACAAAATGTCTCTGGTATATGGCTGTTCATTATTCTTGTTATTTTCTCTCCTGTTCCATTATACTCCTGCTATGAGTGAAACCATCTGGTATTTTTCTCTTTCTGGCTTATCTCACTAAGCATGATCTTTTCCAGCTCCATCCAAGTTGCTGCAAAAGACATGTGTTTCCCTTTTTTGGTG